TTCTTGAAAAGTATTGCTTTATGCATGCATAACCTTACAATTCCAAGTGGAAAGAGTTTTTTGTCAAATTAGACTAACTGCCTTTGACATTTTCCTTAGATTCTCACTTAAAAATTTAGGATTTTGATACTGGACATTTAAAATACATATATATATATATATATATATATATATATATATATATATATATATATATATATATATATATATATATATATATATATATATATATATATATATATATATATATATATATATATATATATATATATATATATATATGAAAAGTGTTTTTTAACTAAACATAGATTTTTATTTGGTTTGCACATGTACTTCCTGAGTTACTTCAAGGAATAAATAGCAATATTTCAAGAATAATTAATTAAATGAATAAAAACTACAATATTACATTTACCAAAAACAAAAATATAACATTACACTTAATTCATTATTTTTTTGTGTGCCACCCCAAGATTTGGTGCGGCCTCTTCTGGCCACCCCTAAGAAAGTTTTCTGGGGGCGCCACTGATCTAATGTTGTCTCTACTTGTTTACAGTTCTTTCAATGCCTGCTTGTACTCTCCAGGGGCGGACTGGGACTAAAAATCAGCCCTGGCACTGTAGCCACACCAGTCCACTTTACCACACCGACACAGCCCTATCCACGGACACGCACATTCACTACTTATATTGGTGTACAGACGGTGAAATAATATAAGCTGTACCATATGTAATAGATATTTAAACATCCGCAGATTTTTACCAAAATTCTCAGCAGAAATAGCAAAAAATGTCGGCAGATTCTGTCTAGCCCTACTCATATTTGAGCCTGAACTGGGCCAGATATGTTGGTGTGTCACGACTGCAATAAAACTGATAAACTCATCATTGCGCTTCAGATGCGCTATGGATGTGCTTTTTCTCGAAGCGACCCGATTGGTGGAATTGTTTTTTCTTTATTTGAAAATAATGAAACATGTATTTTAAATGTGCCCCTGCTGTAAAATCCAACCTAAACCAGCCTAGGCTAAATCCAGCTAAAACCAGCTTGACCAGCCTAGGCTGGTTTAAGCTGGATATAGCTGGTTTTGGCTGGACTCCCAGCTTGGCTAGGCTGGTCAAGCTGGTTTTAGCTGGTCATCTCCCAGCCTGACCAGCTAAGACCAGGCTGGAAATAGCTGAAAACCAGCCTGGAAGTGGCCAAAACCCCCCTAAAACCAGCCTGGTTGACCAGCTAAAACCAGCCAACCAGCCTAGGCTGGTTTAGGCTGGATATTTCAGCAGGGGCATGGGTCAAGATAGGCCAAACTTACATGGCCCACATATCAATTATTATCATCTGGGCTCAATACTACATTTTACATCTGGCCCAAGTATTGTGTGCCGTCTTAAAGACGGTGTCACCTCTGCCAAACCAGAGCCATGTTTGGTCCACATGCTGTATGCCAGTGCAGTGACGGATGAATGCCAAATCTGGACCAGCATAGGCCTTTTTCACAGACGGTCGAGCACACATCTGGTAGAGCGATAGTTGTGTATCCATACTTCTGGCCGGAGCGATGGTGTCAGATAAGTTATAGTTTTCACTCCCTCTTTGAAAACTTTGCCAACATTCACCATTTACAGCGGATGTTTATTGTCTTGTGGACCGACATCTATCGCTCCACACTCTAAATTTAATAAAGGATATACCTTTTTCCACAAAAATTGCATTTTTAATTACAAAGCTGGGTGACGATCCATACGTTAGCATAGTTTAAGATAGGTTATTTACATTTGTGCGAAATGTACCTTCATCATAGCATATGCTCTTAGTTTTAAACCGTTAAGAGATTTAAGAGAGCTAATGTATACAATAATAAATGTTTAAATACATGTATATGTAAATAATAAAAATGCGATGTAATAAATAATTGATGAGAGGGAACCTGGACCTTTACTATTTCTGTACGTACATGGATGAATATCTTAAGGGAGGGCAACAAGCTTTATTTGACTCATGCACTGTGTTAACTATGTTAATACTGCTGAATTAAGTCAGTCTGGAATTGTTTGTATATTTTTTTTATTCAATGTAATATTATCAAGATTCGTATCCATACATAATAAACATTTGTTGACATCCATACGCGAGTATATACCTCTATTTATATGTAGCTGGGCGTGTACTTGTGGATTCCAGTTGGAAATTGCGCCCCCTTGTGAATACAGTAAATGGTCGCCTACTTCGATTGCAGGCACATTATTATCAAGACATTCTTCAAAATATATGTTTTATTATTAGCTTCGGCGAATAATGTGCAATGAAAATAATCTGAAAGTGGGTAACTAGCAGAAACATTTTTAAAACAGGTTGTTCGAATTTAAATAAAAAATAAAACAGAGGCCTATAATGAAATTAGCACAAGTTTAAATGTTTATTTAAAAAAAAAGAAAAGAAAACGGACATGAAGCAAGCGCAGTGATTGGCTAGTTCTAGTCATGTGCTGTTTTGGCGCGCG